AGCTCTACAATGCTGTGATTGGAGGGATTCCCCACCTGTCTGTGGACTCATGCAAGGATCAGCGGCTGTGACAGTTTGTGTACTAATGATCATAAGCTGAGCGGCCCGTTGTTCATCAGCGCTGCTGGTTCAGCTCCTGTTGAGAAGGTTGGAGACCTGCAGTCAGACTGTCCAGGTGAACAGAGTCAACCTTCTCAGAGAAAGACCGCGTGTTACAATGTTTCCATGTCTGCTGCTGCCATGGAGACAGGCTTCAGACTGCAGCGGGTTCTGTGCTAACAAATGCAGAGGTGGGTTACCCGCTCGGCCCAGCACGGGTGACCACATGTTGCTGCGATGTGTCCTGCAGAAGTAACTGTATCTCCTGAGGACTTGCAGTCTGCGGGCTGGCTAAATATAACTTGTTTGTGCTCCTGGGCTCACAGTAATTAGCTCCACAGTTTAAAACGGCCACCGTACTGTGTGACACGCTGAAATTTCACCCGACCCGTGGACAGAAACAGCGTAGTGTGGAAGGGCAGATTTGGAGACATCAGTTATTTCAACACGTTTATAACATTCGACTGTCCCAACGCTGCTTTAAAATGATAGCTCAGCTTTCTGAAGAAACGAACAGCACAACCTGTGTTATTTACTTTACTTTTGCCATAAAGCCTGGATGAATAGCACATAGAGTGCTGAACCAATGATCAGTAATGCTGGGAAGGTGCCAAATAAAGGCAGGTTTGTCTGTAGAGGATTTAGAGGTAGTTCTCCTGCTTGTGTCTCCTCTGAGCTGCAGGATCGGCTCTCTTTGTTCCAGCTCTTTGTTTCAGTTTCTTCCACAGGTAGAACAAACGTAGACAGGAACAGTTTGTCATACAAAGTAACTCAGCTCCCTCTGTTCCTGGCGCTTTGTTAGTTTTTCAAAGCAGACTTCCTGAATAGAATAGAATAGAATAGAATAGAATAGAATAGAATAGAATAGACCTTTATTATCCCATGGATGAGAGGTTTGGGTGTTACACAGCTCTTGTAGCAAAGGGAATATAAAATATGAAAGGAAGCCTCAGAGTGGACATAAGCAGCTGCAGTCTGAACACACAGGTAACGATGCACAGAAACATGAAATGTGCAGTGAACAAAGCAGCTGCTGAGTAAGACAACTGTGTGTTACAGTCTGACAGCTGCTGTAAGAACGACCTGTGGCAGCTCGGTGTTCAGTCTCATGCAGGGGGGGGGTGATGTCCATGATGGGTGTTAGCTTAGACAACAGCCTCTCCTCCTCGATGGACTTCAGCGGGCGGTCCAGGACAGAGCTGGCCCTCAGTTTGTTGAGGTCCCCCCGTCCCTCTCTGCCACTCCAGCACCACAGCACAGAAAACAGACGACGCCACCACAGTGTCCTGTTCACCCCCAAGGATCTCTGCAGGTGGAGACGACGTAGGCCCTTTTTGTAAAGTGCATTTGTGTTTGTGGACCAGTCCAGTTTGTTATTGAAGTGAACACCCAGGTTTTTGTGCTCCTCCACCGTTTCAGTGTCCAAAGCCTGGATGTTCACAGGTGTAACAGGGGCGGCTTGCTGCTGAATAGCAGGGCGACCCTGATCTAGGACTACATTAATCCCATGAGAAGAATGTAGCGCCCCCTCTCTGTGGCTGATTTCCAGTGAGACTTGAAAACGACCTCAGTTAGAAACTGCCACACGCTCCTTGTAATGACTGCACGATGAGTAAAACCTGTTTCTGATGTTTTGTGCTGCTTGGCTGCGTCTCTGCCAGAACATTATGTCGAGCTTCTCCGTTTTCATGTTTGCAATAATTCTTAGCTGTGCTGTGCAAACCAGGCTAATGTCCCGACACACAGTAAGAGACCTCGAGCAGGGTGCACAACACTGAGACGCTGCAGCAGGCTCAGAGGTCGCAGGCACTTAGGATGATGTTTATTCTGTGCGTTGTCCATTTAGACTTCAGCAAACTCGGGTTAAAACCTGTCACCTATGAACGTGGTGGCACTGTGTGAAGGCAGGACAGTGGCTCTTTTTCCTTTAAGCAGCAGAGCTCTGCTGCTCCTCGGTGTCCCACACAGCGGAGCCGCCCCACCACTCCAGCCCAGAGAGCTTCTGCAGCTTTTAGATGCATACTTGGTTCAGGTGTGTTGGAGTAGGGATGCATCTAAAAGCTGCAGGACAGAAGCTCTCTGGGCTGGAGCTGGAGAGCCCTGCTTCTGATCAATCAGGATCCCCCGATGTTTAAATGCTGCACTGGCTCCTTTGCGTTGCTGCACATCACCAGTCTGCTGTCAGAAAAACACACGTAGGAGCAGGAGGTGGTGTTTGCAACTGAACTCCCTTTATGTTGCCTGAGTTTCTGTCGGGTATTTCCTTGTTAATAAAGTTATCAGTGTATTGCTGATGTTGTTTCCTTCTGAGCTGCAGATACAGATGTTGTGGCCACAGAGGGTTCATCCCAGCAGCTTTTGTCACTGTAAGCACTGCTCAGTGGTATTTGATATGTTTTTAAAACAGATATTGGATCCGTGCATGTGGCATTATGTGGTGAAACCAGCTGCAAGACAGAGTTAGACTAACTGTGATACTTAAAGGTTGCATGTTAGTGCAGGTTAAACAGGTTAGTTTGCTGCACTGTGAAAACTAAAGAACTCGCTGTTCTTTAAAGGTGCACAGTGGCTGTGGGTTCATGGCCACAGTTAGCATCACATGTAGCAGAGTCATATGAATTTTAGCTGATGAGCTTAGATCCACTGATGA